CACCAACATCCCATATGGGCACCAGTTCATGTCCCAACTGCTCCACTTCCCCTCCTGCTCCCAGCTTGTGGTCTGGGAAAGCAGTGGAGGACGGCCCAAACTCTTGGGACCCCTCACCCGCGTGGGAGACCTAGAAGAAGCTCCTGGCTTTGGATCAGCTCAGCTCCAGCCATTGTGGCCACTTGGGGAATGAATCAGCAGATGGGAGATCTTTCTCTCCGACTCTCCGTTTCTTTGTAAATCTGACTTTCCAATAAAAATATTTTTAAAAAGCACACACTGTTTGCCAATGTCAAAAGCCTTTGATGAGCTACCAGCCCTGCCCCTACTACAAGTGTTGTGTGGCCTGGCCCAGGGAGCCCTGGTGTTCTGGCCTCTAGGTGCCTGGCCTGGTCTTGAACATGCTGGTGGGTGCAGCACCTTATTTTTATTGGAAAGTTAGATATACGGAGAGGAGGAGAGACAGAGAGGAAGATCTTCCATCTGCTGATTCACTCCCCAAGTGGCCGCAATGGCTGGAGCTGAACTGATCCGAAGCCAGGAACCTTCTCCGGATCTCTAATGCTCCAGACTCCTGGCTGCTGCCTAGTCCACATTTGGCCATTGCAGCCATTTGGGAGTGAACAAGAGGATAGAAGAACTCTCTCTGTAACTCTTTCAAGTAAAAATAAATTATATCTTATTTATTTATTCAGAATAAAACCAAGGGCCTACGGTCTTGAGTTCTTGCCGTGCATATGCTGGGGTCCCATATGGGTGCTGCCTTGTGTCCTGGCTGCTCCACTTCCCTTCCAGCTCCCTGTTGGTGGCTTTGGAAGGCAGTGGAGGATGGTCCAAAGCCTTGGAACCCTGCGTTCACATCGGAGACCCAGGGGAGGTTCCTGGCTCCTGGCTTTGGATCAGCTCGGTTCCAGCCTTTGCAGCTACTTGGGGAGTGAGCCAGTGGATGGAAGATCTTTCTGTCTGTCCGCTCTTTCCAGTAAAAAATAAATTTAAGGGCCCAGCTTGATAGCCTAGCAGTTAAAGTCCTTGCCTTGCACACGCTGGTATCCCATATGGGTGCCAGTTCTAATCTCGGTGGCCCCACTTCCCATCCAGTTCTGAGAAAGCAGTCGAGGATGGCCTAAAGGCTTGGGACCCTGCACCCGTGTGGGAGACCTGGAACAGGCTCTGGGCTCCTGGCTTCAGATCGACTCAGCTCTGACCATTGTGGCCTCTTGGGGAGTGAATCAGCAGACAGAAGATCTTCCTCTCTCTGCACATCTGGCTTTCCAATAAAAACAAATGAACAAACAAACAAACAAATAAATAAATCTTTAAAAGTGGCACCAGGAAAAAAAAGGAATAAAACCAAGGCATGGGGCACTGTGTGCTGTATAGTCTCAGCTGTATGGAGCATGGAACACCCTGGGAGGTAGTGTTTGAAGGGGATGATTATGGGGAGTGGGGCGAGGAGTTCCTATTCCTGTCTGTAAGACCTTTGAGGCTGTGCAAAGCATATTTGAATCACATATGTGTCTTCCCTTGTCATTTTTAGAGGTAGATGTTTAACAATTTTCCAGCAGTTCCCTAACTCAAGTTGTTCTCTTAGTGGCCAGCAGGGGGACCTCTCCACTCCCCAAACTACCCCAGAAACCACCTGAACCAGGGCTAGGAACCCTTGGGACCAGAGTGGGGAACTTGACCTCAAAATTTGGGGGACTTAAAAAGAAAAGCAATACAAAGAAGGCACTATTCTGAGTTCCAGAGAAACCGTAATTTTTAAAAAGATTTATTTATTTTATTGGAAAAGCAAATGTACAGGATGGGGAGAGACAGAGAGGAAGATCTTCCGTCCACTGAGTCATTCCCCAAGTGGCTGCAATGGCCGGTGCTGTGCCTATCTGAAGCCAGGAGCCAGGAACTTCTTTCCAGGTCTCCCACGCGGGTGCAGGGTACCGAGGATTTGGGCCATCATTGAATGCTTTCCCAGGCCACAAGCAGGGAGCTGGATGGGAAGCAGGGCAGCCAGGACTAGAACCAGCGCCCACATGGGATTTCAGCACATGCAGGGTGAGTACTTTAACCACTACACTGTCACGCCAGGGCCGAAAATTTTTTTTTTAATATAGAAATTAATTTTGTAAAAGTTCCTGTAGAGGAAGGCAGATAGTAGTTATTACATCTATAAAATGCCATATTTACAATATGGATTAAAATTCAAAAAATCATTCTCACGCCCAGCCCAGGAAGAGGGTACTTTTAGGTCTCTTTTATAAGGAAACTTGTAACTTATAAGGAGGTCGACCATGACCTGTTGTGGCCACTCAGCTTGCAGGTGGCAGAGCCAGGCTCCACAGTCACCCACATGCTCTCGAAGGTGTGGAAGAGGGAGGTGGGTGGGAGCTCCCGGAAGCCAGGGCCAAGGTCGCCCAGCCACCGACCACCATGGCTCTGCTCTGGTGATGCTTTGGGCCCAAGGCACGGAAATATTTCCATTGAGCTAGAATCAGGAGGGAAAGAATAAACCTTTAGGAGGAGAGAGATGTTTTCACACTGCTGTTGTAAGTCACAGTTACTCATGTGCACGGGTTTACGGTAAGGACTGTGTACTTGGCAGCTTGGGAAACGTGTGAACTATGGATTGAAAAGTCGCTTAGGTTGGTGCACAAAACAGGTCTTCGTGAAGCTCATGGAAAAGACGTATTTAAGAAAAAAAAGATACCGGGATGCTAAGCTTTTCTCGCACCAACACAAACCTAGCTGTACTTCCATTTCCAGACCCTTGGCAAAGGTGGCAGGAGCTGACCAAGGCACAGAAAGCCCTGTGGGGCCCCCGCAGGTGGGGCAAGAGGACCCCACCTACCTAACAGGTGAGACTCCAGGCTGCAGAGCAATTAATGGGCAATTAATGGTGATTAAGTAGCAGGCGAAGTGCCAGCCTTTATCTCCTTTGTTCCCGCAACGCCTGTGTTCCGTTTCTGTGGGAGGAGTCGGGCTCAGGGAGCCTGATAAGGGAGCCCTGGTCACACAGCAGCAAGTGGTAGATTCAAGCCTAGGAATTGCACCTTGGAAACCACCCCCTTCTTCCTGGGCTCTCTGAAGCCCTCCACCGGGAAGGAAAGTCTAAGGAATTGCTCTCTAATGATCACCTGGACCCTGGACAGGGCCTCTTGACCGTTCAGCTGAGATGGGGGCATCCTGCAGGTTTGGATAAAGTCAGGTGTGCTAGGTGAGACCCTCTCTGGCACTTAGTGGGGCACCCCCCTCCAGCACGTTTGTCACAGCTGCCCTGTGGCATGGCCTCTTTGGCCTCCCAGAGTCCCACACAGGTCAGGGAATATGGCTCTCTAAGGGCCATCTTGGGGTCTGGGACATCTGCCTTTCGAGTAAAAATCAACCAATCAATCTTTAAAAATATATGCAAAGAAACAAGTTCAGGGATTTTTATAGTGATCTCTTTATAGTTTGTAAAAAAAAAATTTATTTGAGAGTGAGCAACAGAAAAGGGGAGGGGAGGGCAGCTCCCACCTGTTGATTCACTCCGGAAATACTTGGCAATGGTTGGGAGCAGGCAGCTTCACCCAGGGCTCCCACATGGGTGGCCGGGACCCAAATACTTGAACCCTCTCTTACCTGCTGCCTCCCAGGATCTGTGTTAAGAGGAAGCTAGGACCGGGAACGGAGCCAGGCCCTCTGACATGGCATGCAGGCAGCGTGCTCATCACAAAGCCAAATGCTCTCTGGCTTTTTAAGATCGTGCAGGGAGGACAAACATGCAGGTATACAAGTACCCAAATGCCACGTGGGGCCACATATCCTTTTAATGTTCTGTTGAGACACATGAATGCTGCAGCTCTTGTTTTCCTGCTCTACAGCCTTCTAATGCTTGCAGCCGGCTCCCACCATCAGAAAAAGTATGATCGCTGACCGTGAGAACACACTTTATAATACCTTATCTCCCTGGGCTCTGCCAGGGCGCTGATAGAAAGGCCCAGAAGGGATCGATTTCTTTGTGGATAAAATGAGGAAATCGTTGCTGCTAGGGGTGCTGGGGCACTGGAGGTTGTGTCCTGTGTTTGAGCAATGGGCAGTAAGCCACCTGCTGGCTCCTGGCACCAGAAGGTACGGGTGGGGCTGGCTGCCCATGGGCCCTGCCCAGCCAGACCACTGCCAGCTTGGGTGGAAAATGTTCAGGTTCATCAAACGTGGTGCCAGAGTAGTTTTCCTTCTGGGCATCTGTGCTACATGAGCCGTCAGGAGACGGTGACTCTGTGGGTGCCGAGATTCAAGGCAACATGTTTTTAACAGCAAATGTTGAGAATGAACGTGACTGTTCGGTGGAGGAAACAGCATTTCCCAGCCACTGAGGTGCACTTCTGAGAAATAGATGTGTGGGTTTCATTGCTTCCTGATTAAAACAGGACTTGGGATGGTCCAGAGGGGTGTCCAGGACAGAGACCCCCCACCCCAAAAAACACCTGCAGAGGAAGTGAGTCGCACACTTAGGCGGCAGAGCTGTGAGCGGCCAGTCCTGTTCTCCTCGAATTTCTCTAATTGGCTGCAGGAGCATGTCAGTCACGCAAGCAACAGACACCAAGAGCTAATCCATTCCCATTCCTCCCACTCCCTTCTAGAAACTTCTAGATGTTTCCTTTGACTCCACCATGCATGGCTTTTAAAATCTACTGGTACCATCACAGAACGGTGGAGTGGAGGGCAGTAAAAGGACCCTCAGAGAGAATCATGAGATGCTGAGAGATTTAAAATGAGGCTCTCTTTGTGGGAGTTGGAGACCACTGAGCCCACGGGGCTGTGGTCTGTTCAAGGGCAGACCTCACCTAGGTCCCTGGGGAGGCCGGGCTGCAGAGAGACAAGGAGAACATTGTGAGCTGGAGAGGGGGACAGTGAGGCAAGGAAAAGAGGGGTCCTCAGCCGGCTCTTCTGGTGGCACAGGCAGCTGACCGCTGGGAGGGGCCAAAGTCCTCATTTACGGTCTAGGAGAGTTAATGTGTAATATCCTGAGATATAACCGTGGCCAGAGACGCGCGGCCGGAACACAGGAGCTGTCTGTCACCAGGAGCTGCCACCAGGAGCCATCGCTGTCTCGGGGAGCCGTCACCATGTCGGTGAGGACATCAGCACCCCCTGCCCACTGCCCTCTGTCCTTCTGTGGCTTTGCCTGACTTGAGGGCTATGTACGTTGAGGGAGGGCAGCTTGTTGCCCCCATCTTGCCTCAGTTTCCCTATCTGCATAGTGGGGGACTTGGTTCTTCACTCTCTCTGCCAGCATTCTCCTACAGGAGCCTGAGCCTGCCTCTTCCCCTCTCTGTCTTTACCTTTTTCTTAATCATAATAATAATAGGCTGCTAATATCCATAGCTCTTGATAACGCTGAATGGACTGAAGCCCAGATTTCAGTGACCCGAAAGCATACCCTGGGAACTACAGGGGCTGAGCTACAGTCAGGGAGCCCCTCCCCCTGCTCCTGGGAGTTCCTCTTTGGCTGTGCCCCACTGGGCTTGCTGTGTGCCCACTGGAGCCCTGGCCTGCCCCATGCCCGTGGGGCAGAAGCACAAAGCATCCTCTGTGGGCTAGCAGGTGCTTCATTCCCATAAACCCTCGCAGCCACGTGGAGCTGAATAGTCAAAGCTTGCTCTCCCATGTTTCTGGAGTTGAGCGGTCAGAGTGAGGGCCAGTTTGCTCTCGGGGTCCCCTAGGATGGGAAGGGGCCTTCCTTGTCCCTTTCAGCTTGTTGTAGTGACTAACTGGGTCCTTCTTGGCGTCTCTAAACTTCCGGGACTAGCTGCGTCTCTTCGGCTCCACTTTCATCTCTGAGCCTGGAGAGCTCAGCTTAGCAGAATTCCATGCAGCCACACTGCATTTGGAGGTCCCCCTGCCCGAAACCAGGCCTTTAACCTGATTGCGTTTGTAAAGGTATTCATGCTGAGTGGGAGCGGGGCGTGGCCATGGCTGGTGGACCCTGCATGGAAGGCCTCACCCCTGCTCCCAGTGAGGGCTGTGTGGCCCCAGGAACCCTCCCGTGTTTCATCCTACCCTACCTCTTTTTCTCTCCTTCTCTGAGACCACAATCCAGACCCCTTCTATTACAGAGTGGCCCCCGGTCACTCTCAGCCAGTTAGGGGTAGAGCCAGGAATAGGCCCTGGCCCCTCGACTCCTCCTTCACCCTGGTCCCAGCTCTGCCTCCCTCTCGGTCCACACCCTTCCACATCCGGGTCAGTCCAGGTGCATGCCCAGCACTGCCCGCCTCTTGTTCCTGTCCCTGGGGTTTGGGTGCTTCCGTGGCAGCCAAGAGTGCACAGCAGTCAGTGTTTGCCCCCGTCCCCATCTTGGGGGAGGACAGGGGACCGGGAGGAGCACGGTGCCATCACCTGTTATCTGCCATTAAGTATGAGTGTGTGTACAGGGCTGGGGGGACACATCTACATCCCTCAGGGGGACCCCGACGGTCTTCCCTGGGTCACAGCCTGGGTCACAGCCTGGGTGACAGCCTGGGTCACAGCCTGGGTCACAGCCTGGAGAAGCATGCCCGTGGTCCGTGTGTCTGGCTTCCAGGCGTGCATCCAGCCAGTACCATGGATACCAACTTGTGAGCCCGCTCTGAACCTTTGGGGCTGGTTGTGTCCTTCTCAGCCCAGTCCCTCGCCCTCCAGCCTGGGCATTTTCTGAGTCTTGGGTGATGAGCTTGGAAAACCCAGCCTGGAGACCAGCCCGTTCACCACAGGGTGGGTGAAGGACGTCTCTGCCGTATAGAAGCCTGGAGCTGGTGGGGAAATTGAGGCACAGATGGTCATGAGTGCTTGTAGTGACAGGGCCTGTGGGAGGCCCTCGGTCTTCTCAACCCAGGGCCTGCAGGGGACCGGATAGAGCGGGAAGTGGGGAGGGTGCCGGCCGGCTCCTGTCCTAGCAGTCAGGGGCTGGGCGCTGTGGGGAGCTCCAGCAGCGGGCCTCTCTGTCACCACAGACGAAGTTTGAAATGACGAACCTGGACTTGAAGGAGGGCACCTCCTTGAAGCTCAAGGGCAAGATCCATGAAAGCAGCGACGGGTGAGCAGGTTGGGGCCGACGGGGAGGTGGGGTCACGTGCTGACCCAGGAGTCTTTTTTCTTTTTTAACATCCTGCACCCCTCCCACATATTCCTGCTGCCTCATGATAGTACCCACCTTGCCCCAACCTCCATTGGCATGGAGCTGACACCACCTGCTCTGCTTCTTGGCTCCAGCAGCCACCCCTGGGGGAACGTGTCACCCCTTGGGAACCCATACCATAATGGACTGTGCTGAGCGCTAAGCCCTGGGCAGCCACCAGGGGGCACCAGGCGACCTCACTTATGTCCTGTTGGCCAGAGCCACTGGAGTCCAGCTGGGCAAGGCAATCTCAGGGTTGCCACCGTGGGGGTGGGTGGTGGTTAGGAACTGCTTTCCCTTCCCTTTCTGCTGGGGAGGAGGCAGATCACCCCAGGTTGTGGGGTGGTAGCCAAGAGAAGAGCAACTTCTGTGGGTCTTCAAGTTCACAGAAATGCCAGATTCCCTGGTCCAAGATGCCCTCAGAGGCAGACCCCAGGAGCAGAATCTGTTCTCAGAGGCCCCTGCAACATGGGCGCCGACTCCCGCGCGTGGATGGCCACAGCCCACAGGCTTTCTTCCACTACCCCAGGAGAGCCAGTTTGTCCAAGAGATGGACATCCCCATTTGTGGATGTTCACTTGGTGGCCACGTCCTTGGCCTAAGACACATGCACACAGCTTTCCTTGGCTACTCCCCCCAGCCTGTGCCCGTCCAAGAGCCTCTGCCCATGCTCTCCTACCCACTGAGCCTGGCCGCTAGGAATCACACGTGCCCCTTGTGCCCCCTTCCCCTGCAGCTTCATAATTAACTTGGGCCAGGAGGCCGACACGCTGTGCATGCATTTCAACCCGCGCTTCAAGGAGTCCACCATCGTGTGCAACTCCAAGGACGGCGGCAAATGGGGAAAAGAGCAACGGGAAAGTCACCTGGGCTTCGGCCCTGGCTCAGAGGTCAAGGTGAGGTCCAAGGGAAGAAAGCCCAGCCTGGACACTGGCTCCACCCCTTCCCAGGCCCCTGCAGCCTCCCTGACCGCTCCCCTCCATCTCCTTCTGTAGTTCACAGTCACCTTTGAAGGCGACAAGTTCAAGGTGAAGCTGCCAGATGGGCACGAGGTGATCTTTCCCAACAGGCTGGGCCACAGCCAGCTGAACTACCTGGCCGTGCATGGTGGGCTCCGTGTCTCTTCCATCAAATTTGAATAAAAAATGCCCTCTGTCCCCTAGGCTGGGTTCAGCCAAACCTGAGCCTTCCAGGTCACTGCAGGGTCTGCACCCCCTGCACCCCCACCCTCAAAGCCACAAATAAAGGAGCTTGCTTGTACCCAGGAACCCTGGGAGAGTGTTGTGGGTCTCTGTGCTCCCGGACATGGAAGACATTCAGGCCCAAGGAACGGGGCTGTGCCCTGGGTCATGCCTCCCTGGCCGCTAGGACCAGAGCAGTGAATGCCAAGGCCCGTGGGATGCTGGCGCAGACATTGGCTCCAGGCACCTGGTCCCTGGGCTGCTCACGGAACTACAGATAAGGGCTCCCACCTGGCCCTCTTATCTTGGGCATTCCAGTCAGGTTACTCATTACCTCTGCTTGCCTCTGCCTAGGGCCTCCCGCCCTGCTGCCCTCCCCTGGCTAGGGGCCTGGAGGGAGGGTTGCGGGGTCCTTCTCCCAGCTACAGCCCTCTCTCCAAAGATGTCTCCAGAACACTTTCCTCAAAACATTTTTAATCAGGCCTTGGAGGTGGGGCTGGGGTACACCGGAGGGAGTTGCTTCCCCTTCTGCCGGCCCCCCTTCCACGAGGTGGTACCTGACCATTCTCTCAGGTTTCAGGGAGGAGGTGGGCAAGGAAGCTGGGGGCAGTGGGGACCCTCCTGGGGCATTCCCTGTGGGAGAGAAGGGAGGGCTCTGCAAGCTGCTCTCCCTACCCACCCCACAGGTGGAGGGGCAGTTCCCTTTGTGAGGTTGGGCCCTCTAGCTGGATGTGTGGGCATAAGCAGGGGCCTTGCGGGGAAGCAGGTGAGCCCTGTAGGGCCGACAGGAGAGCCAGATCCTGGGCCCACACAATGTCCTTTGCCTCTCTCCCATGCCCAGCTGGCAGAGATGTGAAAGCGTGTGGGGGCAGCGTGGGATCTTCCATCCCTGCAGGAGCCACCTCGGGGTGGGGGGTGAGGGGTGGGTGTGGTCCTGAGACCCCCACCCTCACACCTTCACCTCATCATCTTCCTCTTCAGCGTCAGCAAACCCAAAGGTGTTTGCTTGCACTGTGCTGGGCACGGGGGTCCTGTTGCCTGCCCAGGGAGGGCCCCACTCTTCATCCAGGCTCTCCCAGGAGGCCCGAGCCTGGGGCAGCACCCCTACCAGCTCCCGCCGGGCATCCACCTCTGTGTAGTGGCGGCTGCCCCTCCAGCTGGCTCCCCAGTGCCTGCCCAGGGCTATGGTGGCATCAGCAGGTTCTCGGGGACCTTCCCCCACTGGGCCAGCCCGCACCTCAGCCACTGGGCCCAAGCCAGCAGTTACCCCATTGGGGCAGTGTCCATGCGGTGAGGGGCTGGAGGCAGGCACTGGGGAGCTTGAAGGAGGGGCTGGGGAGCTTGGAGGAGGGGCTGGGGGGTTTGCAGATGGGGTTGGGGTCTCAGCTGCAGGGGCTTCTGAGAGGCTCATGACTCCAAGCAGCTCACTGAGGAGGGAAGGTCCAAGGTCAAGGTCAAGGCGGAAGGACAAGAGAGAATCGGAGCGGCGGAGCTCAGGCTCGCCAGGGAAGGACCCATCTCGGTTGCGGTCCCGGTTGCGGTCTTGGTTGCGGTCACAATCACGGTCCCGCTCTCGGTCGTGAGGCTTGTCAGAGCGGGGCAGTCGGGAGATAGTGCAGAAGCCGGAGTCTGTGCCTAGAAGAGGGAACGGGGAGCAGAGTCAGAGCTGGGGGGCCTCCAGCCAGGGACAGAGCCCAGGAGAGCCAGAGCCAACCCCAGCTGGCTCTCTGGCCTTGCTTCTGCTGTCTTCAAAATGGCAAGAATCATGGTCTTTCCTGGGCTCCCCTCAGCAACCCTGAGAACCAAAAATGGTCCTAATGCTTGTGCCCACTTGGCACCTCGGGAAGTCAGGTTCACCTGCACTGGTTGAGGACTGGTTTCCCAAGGTCACAGTCCCATGGTCAGAGCCGAACATGGTGCTACTGTGATTGGCTGACTCAGCCCCCTGGGCCAACGGCTATAAGCAAAATCATAGCTCAAGGCCATGGTCAGACTGTGCATAAATCAGACTTGCAGGCCTGGAATCCCACAGGGTCCAAAGTGGGGTTCAAGGGCGGAACTTCCACTAAGGCAAGGAGGGAACCATAGCTGCAAGGCACGGAATGACCACCAGGTGGCAGCAGGGTCCCCCAGTTCCCAAGTTGCAGGCTGGGCACCTGGCTCACATGGGTGTGAATTTGCCAAAGTTGGAGCAAATAAGAACTGCTCAGACACCCTACTGTGTGCTGGTCCCTCGTCTACAGATGACCCAAGTGCATGTCAGTCACAACGCCAAGGGGTTTTTCACATGGGCATAGCTCATGGCTATGGCCTGGCAGAAATCCTACCGGGTTCCTCCCATCTGTCGCTCCGAAGAAGGGTAGCGACGGCTGCAGGAGGCAGGCAAGGTCAATTGGCCCAGCAGAAGGCCGGCCCTGGGCGGCAAGCAAGGAACTCCAATCCTGTGCCCTCCCTCTCCCCCTCAGCGTGTCTGCCACCCAGGCAGACAGGCCCAGCCCTCACCGTAAGCAGAGCGGCTGTCCGGAGAGTCGGTGGGGCTGTCACCATCGAAGGCAAACCTGCTCACCACCAGGCTGTCATAGGCAGCCTGGTTGAGCTGCGGCAGAGAGATGGCGTTCTTGATGATGGGTGAGATGGCGGGCGGGGCCGGCGAGGGTGTGGCCGGGGAGGCTGTGCGCCGGCGGGGCGGTGCCCCGACCCTCCGCACCTGCTGCAGCTTCTTGGCCAGGAAGCTCCGGGGTGAGCGGTGGGTGTTCCCGGTGCCGCCGTGGTTGCTGAGGAAGGAGGTGTCGCCGAAGACGTCCCCACCGCGCCCCACGTGCATGGTGTGGCGGAAGTCCCCGAGTGGTGGGCTGATCATGTCCGCAGTCAGTCGCCGCTTGCTTTGCGAGCTGGACACCCAGCCCATGGGCGACAGCTTGCCCAGGCTCATGGCAGGGGCTCCTTCGGCCCCCTGAGGACCGGGCATTGGGTCAGCTTGCTGGTGCTCACCACTGCTGGGCCTTGGAATGGAGGCGTCGGGGGGTTCAGCGTACCCCTCTGGGCTCTCCTAAGGTGCTGGTCCCAGAGGCTGAGGCCGGCCGAGGTTCATGGCTGCACCTTGCTGGGCCTGGTTCCCAGGTCCGTGGAAGCCGCTGCACATGCCGGCCAGGGCGTCGGCTCCTCTCCTGAAGGGACAGAGGGAAGAGTGAGTCATGCCAAGTGACACTGCAGGAAGCGACACCACTGCAGTCCTGGGCCAGAACACCGTCTGCTGTCCAAGGCCTACATACATGCCGGCCCCAGGCCCCATCTGTACAGAGAAAGTTCTGGAATCACAAGGCGGCTTGATGGTGTTGCAAACCAGAGCTGTAGCTGCTGCTAAGTGGGTACTGACTGAAGGGCCACCAGAAGCCACCCAGCCCCGCTCTTCAGATGGGACACCCAGAGGAGGGAAATGGAGGCATGTGGAGCTGGAAGGGACACTCCCAAGGCTGCACGGAAAAACCTCTTCCACCTCTGCCATGGTGGCAGGCTATGTAGTAGGTTAAGCCTCTGCCTGTGGCGCCAGCATCCCATATGGGCACTGGTTCAAGTCCCGGCTGTGCCACTTCCCATCCAGCTTCCTATTAACGTGTCTGGGCAAGCAGCAAAGGATGGCTTAAGGCCTTGGGTCCCTGTACCCATGTGGGAGACGCGGAAGAAGCTCCTGGCTCCTGGCTTCAGCCTGGCCCAGTTCCAGCCGTTGTAGCCATTTTGGAGGTGGGGGTGAACCCATGGAAGGAAGCCTCTCTCTGTCTTTCCTCCTCTCTGTAGCTCTGCCTTTGAAATAAAAATAAAATCAATATGAACAATAACAACAACAATAAAAAACCTCTCCTAACTGCAGCAGCCAGGAGAGAGGCGGTGCCGGCCAGAACTTTGGGAACAGCTGTCATGTTCAGAGCCAGCCAGAGGCGCCAGCACGCCCTCCCGCCTTCAAGGTGCTTCCTGGAAGAAGGATCCTGCGGTCAAAGTGGCTCTTTCCAGCTGCCCCTGCACTCCTGCTGTAGTCAAGGCCCTGAGAAGGCAACCAGGGACTCGGTCACCATCCAGCCGCTGTAGGAACAGGTTTCGGAAGAAGCTGCCAGGTGCCCAGCGCTGTCCCTGCCCCCTTTCTCCCACTTCACCTCCCACCCACTCCCCGCAGCATCTCTCCCTCTGCCCCTCTGCTCTCCGAACATCCCAGAACAAGTGTCAGCTACCCACAGCCCGAGCTCTGGCTCGTGGGGCTCAGGGGGGCTGGGCCCGCTCTGGGTTGCATGGCGAGAGCTAGTCAGTTCTTGAACACACTGAAGCCCGTGCATGCCCGCTCGGATTGGGCTCTGAGGGCAGGGACAGCTGCCTAGAGCTAACCAGCCCATGCCCGCCCTCTTCCTCACAGCCAGCCTGCATTCTGCGTGTGCCCAGGACTGGACCCAGGCCAGCTCAATCACAGGAGAGCTTGGTGATAAGCCTTGGGCCAACAGGTCACCTTCCCAGAGAGCAGGGACGTGCTGTCCTTGCAGTGTGACCCCAGGCAGGGGATCCGCACCTGGGCTGGAGCACACATACAAACTTCCCCTTTTAATTTCTTTTATATATGTACGATTGTAAGGACTGACTGCCCCCTCACAGCCTGAACATCTCAACTCTGCCCTCTGAAAGTGATTTGAAATTCAGAACAGGTTCAATAACAAGATAACAACGAAGGAGGTGGCACGTGGGGACAAAGCTTGCTTTGTTTCTCCATTGCATTCCCTTCCCCTCCTCCATCACTAACTCCTCCCCCTGGGGGGCACCCTCCCCCTGGCACCCCAGGCACTGCCATGCCCTCTGCAATGTTTACTGAAGTCACCAGGCATGCTGCAGTTGGCTGGCCGGGACATGATGTCACTTTGCGGAGCCGGAGGGTCAGGCCATGCCATGGGGAGGGTCTTGTCCAAGGTTAGGGGGCTGGTACCTGGTTGTAGGGTCGGGGGTGGGGCTTGAGTCCCCTCTAGGGGAGTGAGCCAGAGTATGGCTGGAGGGTGCCAGTTCCATGGGGACCCACCCCCTGCCGGCCTTAGGGGCACACCTACCTCACTGTCACCCCAACTCCCTGATTACTTCCCTCCCAGCAAAAGGGGCTCTGGCCTCTGCTGAACCCCAAGCTTACCCACGGGTGGGCAGACCTGCGTCCTCCCTGGTGTCCCACCTCCTTGGTGTCTCCTGGCACTTCCCAAGGGTAACCCTACCTGCACAGCCCTCAGCCTAGGGCATTAGGGTTCCTCTGAGGTGGGGGACAGGATGCTGTATTTTCAGCAAACCCTCAGACCCTGGGGCAGCACAGCCCTGGCTTCCAATCCAACGCCTTACTCTCGATGGAGACCCTTGGTGGCAGCTGGCTGTGGAGCTATTGCTGACCTTCATGGGTGCCCACCTGGCACAGAAGGAAGCTAGGTGTTGGCTGTCCCAGTGCAGGCTTCCCTTTCTCCTCCTCAGTCTGGGAATTCTGCCTGGAAAAGCCCACAGCACCCATTTTACAGATGAGAAAACAAAGCCTCAGCAAAGAGACTGAGTTACCCTGGGTCAATAGGGCTACATGCTATCTGCCCAGGAGCCCACTGAGGCCTCTTACATGAACAATCAACGCCCCAGGGGTGGGGTGGTGACCGCAGGGGCACAGGTGACAGATGGGGAGGGGGCAGTCCTGGGGGATAGGGGACATGGCTCTGCAGATCAGTACCTGCAACCAGGCACGAGCTGGTGTCCTAGCATCTACCCTGTGGGCACAGCCAGGGCTGGGTGTGGTGTTAAGACCAGCAAGGGCAGGTGCTGGGGGGGGGGTGAGGAGGGGCCAACAGAGGCCACTGTGGAGGAGGTGAGGGGAGGGGAGGAGTATCGATGAGCTGACCCAGGTGTTGGTGGCCCCAGCGCTTCATGCTCACCCAGAGGTGACAGGCACATGGCTGTGTCCCTGACCAGTGCCACGTCTCATGCCCAGAGCCACTGCTCGTGTGCACATGGCTGCTGGCGTGCAGCTGGGTGGCACCTTCCCTGCGCGTGGCAGGTCCCCTGTGTCAGGGAGGTCACTTGTCCCAAACCTGCTGTGCTTTCTGGGGCAAGGATTTAACTCCTGGGGCCGGGAAGTGGCTGGACAGGACAGTCTTCCTGGCCGGAAAGGGGGGTGGGTCCTGGCATTCCCGCTGCGGGGACTCAGTTCTGGGTGGGGAAGGCGGGGGGCGGGGGAAGGAGGAGGGAGTCCTGGGTGCCAATAAGGAGCCCCAGGGGGAAGGGAAAATTGGCACCTGCACCCCAACCGCCCCAGGTTAGAACTCAGTCAGCCCGAGGAGCATATGCTGGCTGGGTCTCAGGTGCCAGCGCCATGCTGTGGTCTCCAGGCCTGTTCCTACATCTCTCTGAGCCTCAGTCTCCAGGTCTGGAAAATGGGCTTCAAACTTGGCGGGTTTCTCACAGCTGGGGCAAGGACAGAGCGGTCTGGAGGACAGCCAAGCCTGAAATCCGGGAAAGGACTTTTCAGCCTCTAGGGGACGAGGGAAGGCAGGAGGCGGAGGGTCTCTGCTCTGAGGAAGGGGACAGCCGGCTGTCGTGGCCGGAGGGGGAACCGGACGGGATGACCTCATCTGTGGCTCCAGCTTGGAATGCGGCGGCCGGGGAGGGGGCAGGGTGCCTGGTCCACTCCCCTCCCACCACGCCAACCCCGGCCCGGGGCCCAGTCCTCGCCATTTCCCGCTTTCGGCGTCGGGCCCCCGTCGCGGGGCCCCACGTTCTGCCAATCGCCCCCTCCGGGTCCCAGCGCAGGAAGGAGCGCAGACGATCTGGGCCCCGCGCCTCTACTCGCGGGAGCGCTCCTGGCTCAGCCGCCGCCGCCGCCTGGGCGCTCGATCGCCCGCGCGGGACTTCACCCAACAGCGCAAAGACTCGGAGCGCGTCCGCCCGCGCCGCGGCGCTCCGGGCCTTCCTGCTGGCACCCATCGCTTTTTGAGGGCCCAGACCCTCCCCTTGGGCCTCCCGAAGACCCCAGAAGGGTGCGGAGTCCCGAGGGCGGTGTTGGGGTTAGGGTAGGGGGAGCGCCGCGGACCCCGCCCCGTGTCCGCGCCCAACCTGGTCAGCCTCGATTACCTGGTCTCGGCGAGCGCCCGGGGCGCACGGACTCGTCTTGGGCCGCGGTGGTTGCGCGTCCCAGCGCGCCGCCTGCGAGAGTCGCCGGGCCGGTCTGCGCCGCCCTGGCCGCGGGCTCGGCGGGCTGGATCCGGGGGCGGGGGCGGGGTGTGGGCGCGTGGCCTCCCCGCCCTCCCCTCTCCTTCCCTCCCCTCGACTCCCCTCCCCTCTGCCCGGCGGGCCGGGCCGGCCCACCTCCCGGGTGCTGTCCACGGCGCACCGAGAGCTTGCAGGGGCGCGACGGGGGCTCCGGGCCAGGCTTCTGCCTACCGCCCGGGGCAGGGCTAGCCGGGAATGTGCGGGCAGCCCGGGGGAGGCGACTCGGGCCTTCCCGCCGCCAGCCTCTTCCCTCCTGCTCCCTGCATGGCGTTGGAGCCCTGGGTTTGATAATCTTGCATCTGGGCCCTCCATACCGCTCCCCTGAGGGCCTTGGGGCATCCAGGAGGCGGGATTCAGAGCCCTTGGAGGCTTGGTTGGTGTGGTGGAGGGTGCGGGGAGGGTGGGGAGCTGTGCACACCTTCAATTTTGCAAGCGTGGGCTGTTGGCGCTCTCTCCTTCCCCACTCCTTCTTTCAACCCATTGTGGCCCAGACCCAGCCACACTGTGATGCAGGCCCCTGGTGGGGTAAGTGCAGGCCACGGCGTGGTGGCTAAAGGGAGTCTGCAGCCCTGGCTGTCTGTCCGACTACTGTCTCCTGTGTGTGCCGGAATTTCCCTGCTTCACAGCGGGACAATCAAAGCAGGCCTCAAAGCAGAGTCCTCCACTCCAGCTGCTAGCACAACAGGTAGTGGGACCACACCTCCCAAA